CTCTTATGCTCACTTTGGCATCCACGAGGTAGGCTGACCGGGACGACAGCAGGAAGATCGGTGTGATTAGAGTAGAGGGATGAGACCAAATGGTTCCTGTCGACTCTGCCAAGGAGCTTTAGTCCCTTTTTATGTGGCTTTCTAACAGCAGAAAACCCCAAAATGACTTCTGCAACAAAGGGTTTAAATCACAAAGATCAGCGTGTAAAACAAGACAGATTGATATTATTCTAACAAATAAAACTACAACGGCAGCTGTTCGTTTGAAAATGGCCAAACTGTGCTCCAGGAATGAGTTTTTGATAGAATGAGCTTCAGCTTACAATAAAATTAAGCTTTTTTTTTGTTAATGCCAGAGAGTGCCGGAAACCCCAGAGCATGAGTAATAGTCATTATCAGCACCTCCTGAAAAGTGACTTTGTCTGTCTTTCTGCAGCAAAYGGCTGAGGCTATAGCCTAACTAATGACCTTGATATGTGAGGGGAAGATGGTGGAAAAGTTTGGGGACATATAGACCTTTAAAAAAAAGGTGTCCTTATTAAGCATGTGGGTCAGCTTTTCTGTCTGCTTGCAGACAAAGAGTGTGTCCTGATTAAAGAGTTCAAAGCTAAAAGAAGGAAAGTAGGATCTGTGTATGAGCTGAGGGAGATAGAGATCCAGCGGTCCCCAAAGGCTTTTTTTTTTTTTGTATGGCACTCCTGTCTATTTCAAGAAGCTTTGCCTTTGTCGCTGAGGCTCTTGGCCCAATTTTTTTTGCTTTTTTCTACTTGATTACGCAGAAAAATACAATGCGCTTACAAGCAGTTTYGTATCTGCATTCATGTGAGTCAGGATTTTTTTTGTGTTCGGGGTAGAACATGTTATTTGTCTACGCTTTGAACGTTTGTCTCCAATGCAGGAGATGCTGAAAGATGAAGTGCGGACGCTGACGTACAGGAATGCCATGTACCACAACAAGCACGTGTTTAAGGATAAAATCGTCCTCGATGTTGGCAGCGGCACGGGGATCCTGTCCATGTTCGCTGCCAATGCCGGTGCCAAACATGTGTACGGGGTGAGGCCAAGCAGATGCTTTAAACTAGTACTGCTTTGACTTAAATCATTCTGACACAGTTTGATGTAATACACGGGTTAATTGTGTTGGGCTCTTGACAAAAAGAACCATGAATAAAAAGAAAACAACTATTAAAGCAAATTACTTTCCCAATTATTGTGAGCAGCRTTATGATTTTTACAYACTTTTCTTATCAGTGAAATTCATTTTACCAAAGTCATTTTCTGTTAAAGTATTTTTACTTTTGCTTAGTTTTTACACCTCTGCTCAAAACTAAAGTTTAATTTGTCACCGMCTTTCAAAATAAAAGTATGGCTTTCGTAGTAAAACCTAAAGGTTAAATAGTTTAAATGAAAACTAATTTATTCTTGTGTTATTTCTATAGTTTATGAATTGATCAGTTTATACTTATTTTAAGTCCAAATACTTAAACAAATATTTGCCAATTTGAAGTACTTTGTAATGTGTGGTCCTGTCCTGTTCTTGCAGATCGAATGCTCAAGTATATCTGAGTATTCCGAGAAGATAATCAAGTCCAATCACCTRCACAATGGTGAGTCGAAGGTGATTTTTCCATTTTCTAGTTCTACACATCCATGTGTCCGAATGTATTTCTGTGCAATGACATCAGGGTTAAAAGGAGCATGGAAAATCTGCAGATTTCCAGCCTTATGGTCACACTTGACAGTGTTAGTCACGGCCCTGATGGTTAACTGGCAGCTCATCTCTGTTGTCAAATGATCTTCGCCATCAATCAGAATTCCCACCACCACCCCCTCATTGGGGCTTATTTCCATTGTGATGCCACCCTGAGCAAGACAGATGGTGGGCTGGCGATAGAGARTGGATTTTGCAAACTGCAAATCTCCCATTAGGCTGGCTAAACTTTGGTGTGCCCTTTTATCAAATCTGTCTGCTTGTTCTTTTATTATCATGGGTCAAATCATCAGAAGATGTGAATCAACGCGAGCTGTGCTCGTTTGCATTTTAAAGCCAAGGAAAAACAGTACAAATATGTCCAATTTGCATTAYTGCGATAAAAAAASAGCTTCAAAGCAATTTGTCACCCGCTGCTGTGTTTCTCCTCACTCTGCAGTCATTACAATCTTCAAGGGCAAGGTGGAGGAGGTGGAGCTCCCCGTGGAGAAGGTGGACATCATCGTCTCGGAGTGGATGGGTTACTGCCTCTTCTACGAGTCCATGCTCAACACGGTCATCTTCGCCAGGGACAAGTGGCTGGTACGGCGGCTCCGCTTGACGCTGGGCTTAGTGTGTGTTTGACAAAGAAAGCAAGGCGAGACACAGGGACGAAGGAGACAACTTGCCGAGTRGTTTGCTCGCTCGCTCGCGCGCGCCGCCCAGATGCTGAGGTTACGCATGAACGATCTGGTTTCTAACCTCGCTATTTGCCGCTGGGCTTCCGACTCGGCACATGTGATCCTAGATTAGCTGCCAGGTGTGCAAACAATAAAATGATGGATGGAGTTTGTGTGTGTTCACTGGGTGTCCCATGTCTTTCTGGAATTTAGAAACCTGGAGGTTTGATGTTCCCCGACAGAGCAGCCCTGTACGTGGTCGCCATCGAAGACAGGCAGTACAAAGACTTTAAGATTCACTGTGAGTAATYATTACTGACTTGTTGCTTGTATGTTCACATCTAAACAGCCACTCTTTAGATACTATCAGGAATTGAAGACTCACTTGTCATGTGATCTGTTCGCGCTTGACGCATGTGTTGAGGATGACTCTCAGCTACTACCACGACAAATTTTAGCTCAATATCTTTAAAATTAACTGAGTTATAGCATTTTTGTGCTCCGTAATGTTGATTACCTGTGGTGGCCGTCTTGAATCGGGATGATTCCAAAAGTTAATAAATTGTAGATCCAGGGATTACTTCCTGATGATTTTGTTTGAATCGTTCAGTTCATGATGTATTTTGCTAACACAGACAGAGAAAAACACACAAGACACTCAGTTGGCAGGCATAACACTTTACTAACCAGTAATAAAGCAATTCCTCTATGAAAGAAGTGAAAATAAGGTTTCATCTTCATTAGCTATCAGATCTGTGTGTACTAAAGCTTTCATAGGTGGTATTTTTTACTTTATTTAGGACAAAAAAAACCCTAACCTTTTAGAGCATTGTAATAAAAGTGCTCTGAATAAAACCAGTCTCTGTGCTCCTATTCATTCTTTTGTTAAAGCCTTAGATAAACAGAYACAAAGCACGATGTGTTCTACTCTGAAACCTCTCTCACAGCCAGGAAAAACAATCAGCACCACACTAAACAACCACCAGCTCAAATGTTATGTTAGCAAGATTATAACTATCCAAAAACAGATGTTATGATGGTAAATTATTTCAGCACCGTATTTATGCCAAAAAGTACATATTGCATGCCTCTATGCTTTTGCCCAGACTTTCATTTCTTTATTTATTTTTACACTACTTTGATATTGAAGCTAACAAAACCCAAGAAGCAGCTGACGGGGATGTTTGCTTATCTGTGACAAACCTGTGRGAATAAATTGCGCACAATGAGTGTCAGTGTCAGGATTAGTTTCCCCATTCCGTCTGATGCCTCCGGCTTTAAACTCTTCAACCATTTTTTTTTCTTCTTAGTTCCGTTTTTACCCATCTAGTTATAAAAAAATTAGGTTAATGTATGAGATTTTGCTTGCAAGAGAAAAGTAGCAAAAAAAAAACTGTTATGAATGATTTAAAGTGAGATTTGTTTAATTTATTGTTTTTTATCAATGATGTATGCCTCAGTTCAAGATGGCCGCCACATCCAGTTTACCTTACAAAACACAAAAGTGGCTTTAGTTTTATAAACACTGAGCTAAGATTTGTTTTGGCCATAGCTGAGAGTTATCCTTAACACGTACTCTGAGCACAAACCGATCATGTGGGATTTCACAAGATTGCGCACCTTTTCATACAGATTCAATCATTTAAATTTTATACTTAAATTTTGGATATACAAAACAATGCTATATTTAGAATTTTACAGTAACCATTAGTTCCTTCCGGATTAACCTACAGATGAAACAAAGATTATTTTTTTACATTTCCTGCAGTAATTTAAACTCTCTGCATGTGTTCAAATAGCTGACACAGCTGGGGGCTGAGCTAAACCCTGTGATCCACATCAAAGTCCCAATATTAAAGGTGCCACTCTGTCTCGTATCGACACCAAATAACTCAATAACTCTGAGTTTCCTTCGACCTCAGGCGGCCTTTTCACTTTTAATACGTCTAATCCAGAAGCATAAAAGTACATACTTCCTGACAAATCCAAGCAAAAATTGCCCAAAAAGCCTTCAGATTCTTATTTTTAGCCTCCCTGCGTTGGTGKTGCATTTTTTTTCCATCATACATTTCGTGTTTGGCCCCATAACAAAATAAAGTGGCATGGAGGGACAGAGGGAATGGGGGAGGGAAAGGTTMTTTGGTGCGTTTTCAGTCCAAATTAGACTATAAAACAAAATAAAAACAGCTGCCAGACATACTGGAGGAGGCTGGAGGTTATTTTCAGGAACACTTACCCCGCACAGAGCCTGAATAGAAAGTAAAGATGGCGTGAGTGAGGGATTGTTCTGCCTGACAAGGTTAAACTGTTTTTATGCTGAATGCTTGGCAGGAACCTGGAGCGTTGTATCCATGATGTAAAACAGTAAAGAAACTGTGCGTAAGATGCTGTGTTTCTGTGCGCACAGGGTGGGAAAACGTATACGGGTTCGACATGAGCTGCATTCGAAACGTGGCCATCAAAGAGCCGCTGGTGGATGTGGTGGACCCCAAGCAGGTGGTGACTAACGCCTGCCTCATAAAGGTATTTTTTTTTGTCCTAAAACGAGTGTGTGGGCATGTTGTCGTCTGTGAAATTGTGTCATTTTGTGAAAAAAAAAACCTTTTATGTTACACATCCAGGCTTCAGTCTTTTGTGTACAGGAGTTCTAAAAGTCAGACAGCTAACACTCGCGCCACCTCTGAACATTCATCGGCAGCTGAGGCTATTTTCCTGAACATAATAGAGGTTTTTGGCGAGCTGTAATAGACTACAGCTCCACTTCCATGCTTGAGGACACAACAATGTCTCGTCTTTCATCTCACAAACGAACAGAGGATGAGAAAATCCAGAGAGGTGATAGCTTCTCTTTTTGTTACTCTTTTTTTCCCTGCTTTTTATTATTATTTTTTCCCCCAATTTGGACTATCTAGTAAAGTTCGTCTCATCCACCAGGGAGGTCTCAATGCTCTGTGTGTGATGGTGAAATGTCACACAAGAGCACTGAGTCACCAATGGGAATGAAACGGGTTCTTAAAAAGTGCAGGTGGTTGCCAGTTAGACAACGTGCCTCCTCTCACATATGTATAAATCAGAGTTCATTCCCTGCAGCTGCCTGTCTCCATACATCCTGTCAGTCATTCCTCACATTCTAAAGTCACTCCCATCAATTTTCTGTTCTCACCTCCTCCGTTTGGCTCTATACGGCACAGGCCTGATGTCACTGTTGAGGACAGAGGTGTTAAATCACCATCCGTCACGCTGACGCCTCATGGCTGGCCCAGGATGTACAGGTTCTTCCCGTGGCTTTCGAACATGTAAAACAGCCACAGCTCTGCTCTTCTTCTTGTTTTCGGACTCACTAAGACCCCTTAGGGAGCAGAAAAGTCAAACTATCCACGAGGCGGGATTTGACACACACCTCGCTCCTCGGAAGACTGGAGGGAAGACACCCACACAGCATGTGTACTGCCAGCAGGCTTGGTTTGCCAGTCGTGATTCACCCTGTGGGCTTTCACACACACACACACATGCACATAAATTGTGAATAATGCATGTGCTTCGTGTGTGTGTGTGTTTAAATACATTTCCCCTTTTTTTCTTTTTCATTTTTAAAGGAGGTGGACATCTACACTGTGAAGCCAGAGGACCTGTCTTTTACCTCAGCCTTCTGTCTGCAGATCCAGCGTAACGATTACGTGCACGCACTGGTCACGTATTTCAACATAGAGTTCACCAAATGTCACAAGAAGACCTGTTTCTCCACCGGTAAGGCTGCACCAAAGTCAGCACAAAGTTTCACATTAGCAACAAGTTGTTAGCGATACGCTAACATAGCCACTTCAGGCTTTCATTAGCAGCTGTTTTCATCCTCTTTCTGTCCGCTTCCATTTTTGTCTTCGTTGCGCCCGGCCTTCCACGAGAAACCACGTTCACAGCTTCACGCTGAGTCTGTTCGGGTCGACGCTAGTCACCGTCAGCGGTGACAGGAGCTCCTCTGAGCGTGTTTCTCTCTGCACGCATTAGGGAACTGTGACCCCAGAGCAGATGTACTGAGAGGGGGAGAGTGAAGAAGAAGAAGAAGAAGAAGAAGAAGAAAAAAAAGGCACTTTTTCTCTGGAGTGGCAGCTTCGTGTGCGCTGCAGAGTAAAAACAGAAAGCAGAATAGACCAAAGCAGATGCTCGGACAGCTCATCATATGTGAACAGACTGAAAGACAAATGTTTAGAGAGGAAAAATGGTATGGTAGGACAAATGGGATGTTCCCATTGTGCACCACCGTGCAGCGAACATCAAACATTGCAAATTATTACTTCACTATTTTCGCCCTTGGCTCCACTCTGCTGATGTTACACAAGTGAAACTGGAGTTTTCACCGCTCTGTTACGCAAGCCTGTTTTTAATAAATTCATGCATCTACTGCTTACATAATATCACGTAGAGGAGGTTCTATGTTTGGCTGCGTCTGCTGGGGCCGAGGCAGAGCATCACCGAAGGAGTTCTCTCCTCGTTTCTCCCGCCGGGCGGGTGCAGCTCAGACACTTGCAGTTCCCATCACGTTTGGGACCCCCCCGAGGCAGGGTGGTAGCTCCTCCCAACTGAGCTGTAAATCGTTTCATTCCACAAACTTTCATTGTCGTCCATTGCTTTTTATCTCGTTTCATTTCCCCCCCTCTTTTTCTTCAGCTCCAGATGCTCCCAGCACACACTGGAAGCAGACTGTGTTTTATTTAGAAGACTATCTAACTGTCAAGAAGGGAGAAGAGATCTTCGGGAGCATCGCTGTTCGACCCAATGAGAAGAATGTGGTAAGGCTCAGAAAGCCGGTTGAAAAAATAACTAAATTATTGATCATTGTTTTCCTCATGGAGACAGAATTTATGTTTAGATTTTATAATTTGTTGCCATTTTTTGGAATTTTGAGTATTTTGAAACCTGTGGTTCTAAAAAAAAAAGTTGCCCACAATATTTTAATTAATGCTAATTGACCAATTTCACCCAAAGTGGACATTTTCTCATTTTGCCTTTTTTTTTTTTTTTGCAGCGTGACCTGGAGTTCACCCTCGAGCTAGACTTTAAAGGACAACTATGTGAAGCTGCCATTTCCCATGACTACAAAATGCGTTAGGAATAAAATAAAACGAGACGCCAGTGCGGAGCTGCCCTCGGCCCACCTGGAGACAACCTGAGAGGAGGAGGAGCTCAAAGGTTCTTAAACACGCTGGTCAGACTGACACGTCTGACGTGAGGCTTTCAAGCCAACAGGGATGTGATCAGAATAAGGAATTCTCAGCAATAGTGCCATCACATGGTCGACCGGAGCACAGGACTGAATGTAACGTCTTACAAGTACTTGAGTTTTTTTCCCTTCAGCTTTACTTTCAGTATTTAAAAAAATCACAAAGTTCTTATATCTTTACTGCAAATTGGAATTCACTGATCTGTGTGATGTTGAGAGTCACTTAGTGTTTTGGTAAAAATGGAGTTTGTCACAAAATAGCTCTAAATAAAACTGAATCTGCTCTCTTTGTTTAGAAACAATGGGCCTCATGCAAGAACATGTTCGTATTCTTTTCCTAAATTTCTCTTACTTTTGTTCGTGCAAAGGGTTCGTACGAACATGTCACGTCAGATTCAACAAACTCTTCTATCTTCAGGAAAGTGTGTAAATGAGCTGCGTAAACTCCACCTGTTCTATCCAGCTGCTCGTGCACACGAGAGGAGATTAGCATAATTACCACCCCAAAAACACCATATAAGGCTGTGTTTCCTGCCTCAGATACAAGGAAGTGTTCATTCATTCATGAAAATGACAGCGAAAACTAAAAAAAAAAAAACTTTACAAGTTCAGATTTGAAGTCCGTCTGTCAGAGATCCAGAAAAGAAAATCTGTCATTTTTAGCAGGTCAGCTGTGGGATAAAAAGAGCTGATAATAGTACAAACAACTGTGTTAAATCATTTTCATTTATTCAGAAGACCCAGCGCTGTGCACCGCGCGCTGCGGTGGTCTCAGATGCGGGTTTGAAATAAGCATTTTAAAATGTTTTCAAAATAAGTCTGGCACTTTGGAGAAAACCCAGGACTCACTGGAGGGATTATGTATCCCCTCTGGTCTGGGAACGTCTCAGAGTCCCCCAGGACGAGCTGGAAGGTGTCGCTGGGGAGAGCGTGGGGTCTCTCTGCTGCCCCCCACGACCCGATCCTGGAT